CTATAAAACCACACACCCAAGTTATTGCCTTGGAGAACTGAGTTTCAAAATTTGTTCTGAAAGCTGGCTAAGATGTCAGAACATGTTTTCCCCTAAGAAACATTAAACATGCAGTTATGTGGCTCAGCACCTATAACTCAAGTGGCTAGGGTGCCAGCCACATACACCGGGGCTGGTGGGTTTGAATCCAGCCCCAGTCTGCCAACAACGACAACTACAACCAAAATAATAATAATAATAAAATAAAATAAAATAGCCCGGATTTGTGGCGAGCACCTGTAGTCCCAGCTACTTGGGAGGCTGAAGCAAGAGAATCGCTTAAGCCCAAGGGTTTGAGGTTGCTGTGAGCTGCAACGCCATGGTACTCTACCCAGGGCGACAGCTTCAGATTCTCTTCCAAAAAAAAATATGAAACAAAAAAAACAAAAAACATGCAGTTATGCTTCCAGGATAGTTGTCAAATGCCTACTTAGTAAATACCATAACTGTATAACATTACATACATTTTTTTCCCAATGGAAATACACATCTGCAGTTGTATTCTAATTCAATCTCTTATTAACGACCTACATAAAATTATACCATCAAGAAAGTGTATGTCTACTCCTACTTAAATGCAATATGCCTGAGTCATAGCATTATTTTTTGTTTGTTTGTTTGAGACAGAGTCTCAAGCTGTCGCCCTGGGTAGAGTGCCGCAGCACCACAGCTCCAAACAACTTCAAACTCTTGGGCTTAAGCGATTCTCTTGCCTCAGCCTCCCAACTGGGACAATAGGAGCCTGCTGCAATGCCAGGCCGTTTTTTGTTGCAGTTATCATTGTTGTTTTAGCCTGCCAGCCTCAGTGTATCAGAACGGAGCCTGAATCATAACATTGTTTTTTTTTTTTTTTTTTTTTTGAGACAGAGTCTCACTTTTTCGCCCTCGGTAGAATCATAACATTGTTAACACCAATGTTTCAGATTCCAGTTTGTCAAAATAAGATTTTATGCAGTTTTACTTTGATATGTTCACAGCATTTTAAGTGTCCAAATGCCATGCATACTAAAAATCATGATTGGAAAGAAGAGTTATCACCTAGTTATCATGGTAACTAATTCTAGCATTAAGTCAGAAATCTAAGGCATCTCTAAAACCAGAATTTAAGAATTACTGTAACAGTCCTATTATTAATCTCTCATACTTGCCCAAAAGATTACCTGGATAAAGTCACTCTGTGACCAGCAATAATAAAATAACCATTAAGTATCTCAAGAGCAGTTTATATGGTTAAGCTGATCTCAATAAATCAAAACTGCCACCACCACCACAGGTATAGATCATGTTAACATAGCTCACTGAATATGCCACTGATTCCAAAGCAGTATTTTATGTACTACTAAGATAATGCGAATTTAACTATGACATGCCAATGATTACAAAATGTTTCTCCCAAGATCCTTCAGATGACTATATGCTATATTCCATTTAATTTACCCTTACGTTCCCCAAACACTTTCTCTTCCTGTCTCCCTCCTATTTCACTAGCCCACATCAACAGCAGAGCCCTCAAGCCCTGATTAGTGGGAAATACAAAAAATGCCAATGTGAAATCTATTAGATTTCAATGACATTACTGCTCGTATTAGCTATAGAAACTACAAAGAAGGAATTTCTGAAATCATGCCATCAGGAACAGAAGCTAAAGAATTTCACTTTGTCCTCCATTTTCCTTCTTCAGCAATCAAAGAGGAATTTGGGGGGCAGAAAGTTAGGAAAAGTATTATTTAGCTAGAAATAACTCTTAAATCCTATTTCTGGTTGGTGGATCTTGACCAAGTCACTCAATGCTTCAGTGGACTCAAGGCAGCCTGACTATACTGCCCACGGTACCTCTCTTTGGCTGGGTTTATAAGAATACAACTAGTCACTTACATCCCATTGACTTAATTATCTCCTATCTACATATCCACTGTGTCTTGCCTGCAAAAAGCCTATACCAAAACACAAGGTCAGCACCTTTGTAAACTCTTTTAAAAAGGAACTAATAATTCTTCTCACTCTAAAGATTTAGACTTTTTGTTCTGGTAATTTTATACTCTTTGGTTATATGATGTAAATAAAAATTGGATGTGTTTTTGCAAATAACTCATAGGAATATATATAGTATTTTTCCCCTACACAGCTTTCCAGCTCTAGACAAAGAAATAATCAAAAATGGAAACTTCAAAGGAAAAGACAAAACAGGTCAGAAAAATGGGCATCAGATTTGGACATGGTGACTAAAATCCATGGAAAGATGGAAATTCTCCGAATTTTGAACAAAGAGTAATGTGGTATATAAGGTAATAAAGATAGTGATCCAAGGCACTCTCCCACACTTAAGCCTGAAAGAACCAGGAACAGCTAAAAGGTTCTCACTACTCACTATTCTCATTCAGCTACCTGTCAAAAAAAAAAAAAAATAATAATAACCACCTCATTTATTAAGGTACCAGCAAATTAACTTAATGTTAAAATTCTGAAAATTATGTAAACATTACTTTTTTTTTTTTTTTTTGGTAGAGACAGAGTCTCACTTTACCGTCCTCAGTAGAGTGCAGTGGAGTCACACAGCTCACAGCAACCTCCAACTCCTGGGCTTAGG